GGTCCCTGCAGCATCTGACATATGAGGCCAGGGAGACACCGCTGTTGCTCTCTGGCCTCACCAAGGGGAGCAGAGCTGGAAATCACCATGTTTCTGACCCTTCCACACTGGAATGATCAACCTTTCCCCCAGCACTTCTCATTCCTGACACAGGTCAGTATTCCACCCTCAGCTTTCAGACCTATGTGCAAAATCTGAAGTCCTCCTTTGCCTACATAACTCCAGAACTCTCTTCTTCTCTACTACCTTCTCCAGAATCACCCCTCAGAGCCTATCAGGCACATTTCCTGTCTGGCTTCACACAAGAGGATGCTCTGCACTGTGGGAGAGGCAGGGGAGGGCCAAGATACACTGAACACAAAACAGGCATAGGAAGGGGTGGACAAACAAAACCCTAGAGAAAACAGCTCAAATCTGATTTATTTTTTCCCAAAACCTGGAAAAAGAAGTGCAGGATCATCAGGAAGCTCCCACTTTCCTGCCAATGTCAGGGCCAGGTGAGGGGTTGAGCATGCCTAAGTTGCACCCCTCCCAAGAGCATCCTTACCTGGGAGCTGTGTTATCCCTAGGAAGCTCCCTTGGGCCCTGCTCAGATGGGAATGTTTCTGTCAGCTCTGGAGCCACAGCTGTATCCTGAAACAAATGCTAATTATTCCCAGTTAAGGACCGACCTTGGATACTCATTAGCACATGGTACCAGCCCTAATGATTTTCCCAGAATGGCTGGGAATGGGGGCAGTGGAGCAGGTGGAGGCTCCTTCTGGTGTCTGCCTCGAGAGGGGAGATTTGTGTCTATGCTGCTTTCAGGGAAAGGGAAAAAGTTAGAGCTGCTTTCATAGCAGCTCCTCAAGGGATGGAGTGGAGGTGTGAGGGTCTCCAGGGACCCCAGTGCCCCATAGCAGTAGTGCAAGGGCCAGCCCAGGGGACCCTTTTGCCCCGCCCAGTGTCCCCCCAACCTCCTTCCATTGTGATTGTCTTAGGGCATTCCAAAAGTAGCTAGGCTCAGGGCTGGGATGGCACAACCCCACAGGCAGCCCCAGCCTGGGATATTCCCAGCTGGGTTGGGCTGAGGGCATAGAGTGAGGGCACTGGGGGCTGCATGGCCCAGAAAAACCACCCAAATATGGCAAACAACTGAACCCAGAGCTTGGCTGGCCCGCGGGTGATACCACCCTCATTGCTTCTGCAGCTCACAGGGATTTTCTCAAAGCTGGAGGAAAAAAACCTTATGGAAGCTGGGAAGTCATGAAGAGCAGCAACACAAGATGGCAATATGGGGGTCCAGTTGCACCCAATGCCCTCAAACCAACCCAAGAGAGAAAAAGCTTCCAAAACCTGGCAGATGGTGGAAACACTTTCAGCACTGAATGGGGACACATGAGAATCCCTGTGGCTGGGTCCCAACTCTGATAAAAGGGGTTTGCACCTGGAAACACCAGCTGAGGGCACTGGGTGCCCCTGGAAGCATCTGCTCTGCTTTAGGGGGGATCCCCTTGGGTCCCCTTGGTGAGGTACCCCTGATCACCCTGTAAGCAACAGCCACCTCCATTACCCAGCCAGCACTGCCAGCACGCTGGGGAAGAAAGGAATTTCTGTGTAAATCCCATTTACTGTCGGGTTTCTCACTTCTCGCCCAGTAGACAATCCCAGCCCTCAGTGCAGTGCTGCATGAAGGTTTAATGTATTTTTGGAAGGAGAGGGGGAAAAAAAGCCCTCTCTGAAAAGAGCCTCTTTCAGCTAATAATGAAGTGAATATTATATTAAGAGTGAAAACATATTCAGGCAAACTTACAGAGGGAGACAGAAAACCTTTTCATAACACCCTGGCCACAAACACAACTGCCAATTAAACCGGCTTCACTCTCCAGCTGGTGCCAACATAAACGAGGGGCCAGGAGCGGAGCATGGAGCTGGAGTGCTCTGTGCCCGGCTGGGCTCGGCTGCAGCTGACAGTACAGAGGGGTTCCTGCTTCCATGAGTTTCAGAGCCAGCCATTGCAATAAAAAGGTCTGAATCCTTTGTCCTGACCTGGGAGAATGGGTGCCCAGTGAGGCGAGGGACTCCAGAGCATGGGGGTCCTTGGCCCTGTTCCCAGCCCAGGGGCTCCAGTGCCACGGGAGTTCCTGGTTCCTGTCCCAACACAGAAGAATAGGGTGCCCAGTGACTCAAGTGGCTGCAGAAGCCCAGGGAGTCCTCTGCCCTATACCAATCCAGGGGATCCAGTGCCATGGGGACCCTTGGTCTCTGCCCACAGCTTCCTCTCTGCCCAGTCCGCAGAACAGGGATGGTGGGCAGGAGCCTGAGGCCCCAAGTCCCTGGGATCAGCAGGATTGCTTCTGGCCCAGGGGAGGATGCTGAGCAACTGCCCTGGCTGAGCTGATAGGACCAGCATCCCCACATATGCCAGGAAGGTTTGGAGAGGTGCTGCATATCCCATTGCAGTACCCCGTGCCTTGGAGGAAACCCGTGACCAGCCTGCATTGTTAACAGGAGGTGCCATAAACGTGGAGCACCTTCCAGCATCCTTATTTCACATGCCCTGAATGTCTCAGCAGACGTTTAACACAGCCATCACCTATGTTTTGGTTGTTTGCCAGTGGTCTCAGCTCACCCTTGTCCCTGGCAGAGGGACACTGGGGGGCACAAGGACACTCACCCACACTCTCCAGGGTTTCTGTACCAGCTGCCAGTGGAAGGAACAGGCATGGAGTGGGATCTCACTGCTTTTATGGGTTCTTGGGGGTCAGTGGTGTGCAGGAGAGGACAACATGATGGGAGACACTCAGGTGACACACAGGGGCTGTGATTCATACTTCAAAGAGGTTTTACCTTTGCAACCTAAGGAGCTGCTGGATTGACAGGTTGAGGGTGCAGAACCTTCAGGTTTGGATAAACAGCCATGCCAGGAAAACTTCACCTGAGATCAGATAATCTTGGAATTGAGCAAACCCAGCACAGCTGAGGAGCTGCAGGTTAACATTTGATAAACCCAAACTGGAAACACAAGACCACTGCTGAGCTGGGATGAACCTTTGGAACAGCTTCTCCAGGGAACACACTGAAGATGTTTGTCAAAGACTATTTCATGGAGAGGGAAAAGGGAGGCATTTTGCCCAAAATTTAAAATTCCAGTAGAAAACTTTTCTCCAATTTGCTGCTTTTTGACTACCACTTTGAAAGTGTGGTTCTCTACAGAGATTTTTGTCTGTTGCTCAAGGACTAGTATTTCTGCTTTAATGCCAAGTCAAGATCCAAACACACTTCTGATTTTTCCCAGAGGCTAAAAGATCATATTTCTTCCTTTAATAACAAAAATAAGAAAAAGAGAAGAACAAAAAAGAAAAGAAATAATAAAAAAGGAAAAAAAAATATTTAAAAAAAAAGTAATTTGGTAAAGAAAAATGAATTTCAGCAAGGTCTACCTCACCATGGGAAGTCTCCAACAGCAACAAGCTGCCTGTCAACCTGCCTATCAATGGACTCTGGGTAAAGTACAATTAACCAGTGAGGCCTGGGTGACAGAGAAGGGTAGCTGCTGCTCCTGCAATGTGCGCCGCTGGCACAGCAGGACTGGAGTGGACCTTCCAGAGGCTTGTAAAGCTCCTCACTGTGCCACAGCAGCCACACTACTGCTACACTTCAGACTTAGCAGATGAAATATCTTCCTCAATGGGCTTTGTCCCCACAGTTTGGGGTCCAGGAGATCCTGCCTTTCCAAGGTCATTGGTGGACAGGGATGTGCCAAGTTTCCACTCATGGATGCAGCTGCCCACTGTTGTTTGACCCAAGGGTGGGCAGGAAGTGCCAGCACGGCCCATGTCAGGGAACTCCAGAGAGGCACAGCTGTCCTGTTCTGGAAAACCTGCCTTGCTAGTTCTTCAGAACTAGCTTATCCCAGAAAGCACAAAGTTCTCTGCTTCTTGTAGGGAAGAGGCATCAATTCCCAATCAGTTACCATGAAATTTATGAAGAGAAAGACAGATATCCAGATTTAAAGGCCACCAGAAAGGAGTCCTGAACACCAGTGGGAAGCAGACATTGCCATCTAGTGTCAGGCTAGGAAAGGGCTCAGGAACACAATGGCCCTCCAGCAGGAGCTGAACTGGATAATCACATTGAGTCCCTTCAGCTCAGGATATTCCATGCTTCTACAATGCTCCTCTTAGTGCCAGCCCAACCACTACTGACTGGGGAGATGGTTTTAGACCCTTCTGTGAAAGAGCAAGGCCAATAAGATGGACAGACAAGGCCACCTGTGATGCATGGATGGCTGAGAAGCCCTGGCTGGTACAGCTGTGGATGTCAGAATCATGGAATAGTTTGGGTTGGAAGAGACCTTAAAGCTCATCTTGTTCCACCCACTGCCATGGGCAGGGACACCTTCCACTAGACCAGGGTCCTCTTAGCCCCATACAACCTGGCGTTGAACACTTCCAGAGATAGGGCAGCCACAGCTTCTCTGGGGAACCTGTGCCAGGGCCTCACCATGCTCACAGGGAAGAATTTCTCCCCAATATCCCATCTGACCCTGCCCTCTGGCAGCAGGAAGCCATTCCCTCTTGTCTTGTTACTCCAGGACCTTGTCCAAAGTCCATCTCCAGCTCTCTTGGAGCCTCTTTACACAGAGGAAGGGACTCTGAGGTCTTCCTGGAGCCTTCTCCAGGTGAACACACCCAGTTCTCCCAGACTGGCTCCAGAGCAAAGGGGCTCCAGCTTTTAGAGCATCTTTGACTCTTCTGCATTTATTCAATCCCAGCCACAGTCCCATTGTTCTGAGCACAGAGGGTTCTGGAGTTTGCTCCAAAGCTGGTATTATTCAGCAATTTTAAATCTAGCATCACCATTCACAGGAATGTTCGGCCAAAACAAGGAGTACAACAACCTGTTGGCCACAAAGGGAGCCAGCTCTACAGACCCCATTCCAAATTCCAGCTCCTTTCAGGCATTAATCACTCTTGCACAATAAACTGGCAAAAGTCCTGCCAGCTTCAGTCCTCAGGTTGTTTTATTTCTTCAGAACAAAAATATCAATCATAATTTTTTAAGAACAACCTATGTAAATAGAAAACTTCATGGCATTCTCCTCCTACTTACAAACTCCATGAAAGAAGCCTAGAATCTATCTGCAAGAGCAGGATGTCGGGAAAGAGTTTTCTTTAAACTATGTGCGTGGGAGAAGAAAAGGAATTTACACAAACCCCTTCCTCTCCAACAGTGGGACTTAATTATTCTGGAAACTGCCTCAAAACATGGCAAACAAACTAAACTGCAGGAAAATCAGGACAAAACCTTCACTTCAGTCCCTCCAAGTAAGACAGTGCTCCTGCCCCTTTTCCAAAAACCTGTATGTGATGCTGAGATCTCCTCCATGTGCCAAGAGCTGGACAGCTGGAACAGTCCTAGAATGAAAAAGTATCACAGTCAGTGTTTCCACAGCATCACCTATACAGTTTATTTAATTTCAGCTCTCAGTCATCCATGGTCACCAGCACACACTTCCAGTGGCCCTGAAAGAAACACCTAGAATTCCATGGATTAGCACAAGTGTAACAAACACAGTGATATCCCCTTAAAATCCATTCAACTTCCTCATGAAAGACTTGGAGAAAACAGAGTATTAAGTGTCAAGAGCTAAAAACGAGCCAGGCCCCCTCAGGGAAACCCCCAGAGCACTCCTTGGGCCACCTCCCTTCCTACACAGGGTCATCCATGCTTACCATCACTTACGCTTTGCCACCCTGGTTCTGGGAAACTGAAACCTGGATACTTACTCTGCCTTTGGGAGAAAGGTGAATCTTGTACGAGACACACGAATTTCTCCTCAACCCGGATTTCTATTGTTTCTCCCCATATCTCCCTGCTCCCAGCTCCTTCCTGTTGCAGGACAGGAGAACTGGGAGGCCTGGACATCTGGCTGCATCCCAGCAATGGATCACAGAGCACACCCAGCACTTTGGGCAGTCGTTACCTCACCCCATCACTCCCACTTGCAGTTGGGTCCTTGACAGTCTTGGAGCCCTGGCAAGAGGGAATGACAATTTCCACATCCATCAACACCTCCTTCTTTCATCTCAGCCTTCACCTATACCTCCCCTTCTTTACGATAACCAGAAGGAAATCAGCATCTTGGTGCAGCATCAGCTTGGTCTGGATAAGAACCAGGACTGCTTTCAAGCGGTGATTCCTCCCTCTTCAGCTCTAAAGAGCAGAGAGCTGGCAAGCCTCAGGACTTGGACTAGCACCAACACCCTCTCATAACCAGGAGAGCACTTCCCCTGAAGGGTATCAGGACAGTAATAAGCATCCATGATCATTTAAAATCCCTGGATTAAAGAATAAGAAAAACAGATAGGACAAAGGTATCTCTTCTGTTAGTTCAAAGGGAATGTCTGGAGCCTCCAAAGCAGCAGGACTGGTGCCCAGACAGGGCACAACTCAAGGGGGAGAGAAAGGAGGCTTTAGAAATTGTAACTCAAGAGAAAAACTTAGGGTAATCATGTGCCTCCTTGCTGCTGGAAGTGATTGATAGTGACTCTGAGTCTTCTGCAAAGCTAAAACTTAATAATGAAATTCACATCTTATACAAAGCCAATTCTCTTTAAATTCCACCTGCATGATAAACCAGCTGTTATCATGGGACTGCAAAGAGCCCAGCACGTTTTTCATGTTCTACTGATTTGTAACACCAGAATATTTTACATTAGAGCTGCTGGCAAAGCTCTGAGAAATAAAACCTCACACAGGGATATCCCTTGGGATCTCAGCCTGTCTTTCCCAGGACCAGTGCCAGGTAACCGTTAGCAGGCAGGAACTGGAGGAGAACAGAATCACAGAAGGTCGGATAAACTCTCTAAGATCAAGTCTAACCATCAATCCAGCACCACCATGTTCACCACTAAGCCATGTCCTGAAGTCCCACATCCACACATTTTTTGAATGCTAACAGGAAGGGTGACTCCACTACTGCTCTGGGCAGTCTATTCCAGTGCTTTACAACCCTTTCCATGAAAATTTCCCATATATCCAATCTAAACCTGGTACAACTTGAGGCTGTTTCCCCTTATCCTGTCACTTGTCACCTGAGAGCAGAGCCCAACCCCACTTGGCTCCAACCTCCTGTCAGCTAAGCTTCCTTTCAGTACTGCAGCCAGGAATCTGCTCCTACTTCACCTGGGAGCTTTGTGTTTGAGCACAAAAAGAAATTACAGGGTTTAGGCACTTCCTAAATCAGAGAACAGCAAAGAGCCCATCCTTGGATGAGGCTGGAGGACCAATACTTTACCAAAGCCTTGAAGGACAGGCACAGTGGGACACTGGGGTATTGCACAGGTCTGTGTCCTTTCCATTTCACATCATCTTGTGGCTTCTAAGTCCTGGCCAGGCCTTCCAGTCTGGGCAAAGCCAGTCCTAGTGTGTTCAGACCATGTCCAGTGCATCCACTGGAAAAGCACATCAGGAGTCCCTAAAACCAGGTGCTGCAGTAATTTCTTCAGTTTCCAGAAGAGATCAGAGCCCAGGATCCTTCCAGCAAGGTATTACAGGTACTACTGCAGGTAAGAACTGAAGAAATCCTCAGAAAAAAGTGCAAAATGCTAGAAGAGGACAGAGCTGGAGGGAAAACGAAACTCAACAACCTCATTAAAGCTTTTCTCCTTCCTCTACTTAACAAGAAGAATGCTTAATTAAATCCTCCTTCAAGCCTTCCCCCTCACCCAGCAAAGCTCAGAAGAAAGCAGAGATTTAACAATTTCCTCTACAGCACAGGACACCTCAGTGGGACAGGAATTTGCATATTCTAAAGAAGCAGTGAATCGCTGATTCTCTGTTGCTGAGCTGCAGTGGGGAGGGACAAAATCAGCAGGAGTACATTTCAGATCTGCTCAGGAGTAAGGGAGAGCAGGAGGAGAAGGAACAAATTGCTGTTTATTCCAAGTCTGGAGCTTTCCCAAGGCAGGATTTTGATTGTATTATGCACAGACTTTTCACTTTATTTGCAAGTCTCTTGCAGCTTACTAGGTCAGTTCAACTGGCAACTGCTGCTGATTTTAAGTCCAATTATAGCCACTTCTACCTGGTGACACAGCCTCAGTTCTGCAGCCAATTCTCACCCATTAATGCCTCCAGAATTGGTAGAACTTGCTATTCATGGCAATCACCAGTGACCTCAAAAATACTGTTTCCTGTCATAATTTCAGCCTTGTTTGTTTTCACTGAAACATCTCCCTGTGTGTTCCAACTCTTGGGACCACTTCTGTGTACTGAGCTGAGACACGTATCAGAGACAAGTTTTCAACTCTGGCTCATTTACAATCAAAAATAAGCTCAGAGACTCATCCTCCTGCGACAGAAGTACCACCAAGGTCCCTCTACTAGAATCCAGACATTCCTAGGGAAGTTGTTCCCACTCCTCATGATCTAGTTCTCTTAAGAAAGACCACAGAAACTCAACAATGGGATTTATTTTTTTTTTTCTGATGGGTCTTTCAATCAAACAGAACAAAAAACTCTAAAAAGTCAGAGGCCTCAGCCCACCATTTTGCACTTTAGGGGACACCAAGGAGGACTTCCAGCACTGCACATCCCAGGAAACTAGGCTCTATATACCTGCACCACACAAAGTAAACACACAGGTAAATAAACCAAACCCTGAGAGGGGCCAGCTTGACACCCAAGGGATCTACAAGGAACTGCAGCAGGATGGATTTAAAAAGGAATTTGTGCTTCTATGTCTCCCTCTGAGTACTTCTGAATTCCCCCCAAGAAGTACCACAAGCAGCCTTGCATTTCACCAAAGCGAAGATCTATTCTGACCTGAAACTCCATTGAAAAGGTAGGAAATGTGTTCTGAGCAAAATGTTTGTGGCAATTAGAAGAACTGGGCTCTGCAGCTGGCAGGGGATACAGAAATCATAGGATGGTTTGGGTTGGAAAGAACCTTAAAACACATCAGTTTCACTCCCTGCCACAGACAGGGGGACTTCCACTAGATCAGAGTGCTCAGTGACACATCCGGCCTGGCCTTGAACACTTCCAGATATGGGCCAACCTCAGTTTCTCTGGGCAACCTGTTTCAGATCCTCCCCACCCTCACAGGAAAGAATTTTTCCCTATATCCAAAATGAATCTTCCCTCTTTCAGCTTAAAGCCATTCCCCCTTGCCCTAATACTGCAAATTCCCTTGCAAAAAATGCCAGGCAGAAAGAAGATGCTCAGGCCTACTCAGGTTTGAGTGTAATTGTACAAAACAGATATGGATTATTCAGTGCAGATAAATGAACTTTGCTCCTGGAACACCGCAGGGTTCACCAAAGACACAGCTGGGAAAGAGCTCTGAAGCAAGGGATGGATGCAGCAATGACCAGGAGAGAAAAGATGCCAAAACTACAGCTCTGAGCCAGTCAGGAGCAGGAGCTGGACCACAGGTGGAGCTCAGAGCTCCACAAGCACCTGTCTGCTGGAATATAGGGAGGTTTTCCGTAACTTCTGTGATTCCAATGGTCCATTAACCATGGACTGCAGACAGCATTCCCAGGCCATCTCCTCATTCAGTGTCTAACAGAGAATGGATGAAGCTGCTCTGCCAAACCGCCCCAGTACAGCCTGTGCCCTAAACTTAATTGGTACAAAGCTGTTGGAAAACACTAAAGAATGTTCTGCCTCAATTCTGACCAATTCCCAGTGTCCTTGACAGGGAGCAGGAGCTCCTGCTGGAACTGCTTTGCTCCTCTCTGAATGTATAATGAAGTTCTAAAGCAGCAGCCCAACCTCCAGCTCCCACAGGGCCCTACAGGAACCCCCTCCAGCAAAGGACTTCTTTTACCATGAATGAACAGTAGATTTTTGTTTGTGTCTCAGTGATTTATGTTCATCTGTGAGACTTAGTTTTGTTTTAATGTTGCAACAAAAATAAATTTCAAGGAAGCTTTTACTGACAGCTATCCATCATCTGTGTAGGGTGGAAGAACTCCACACACAGGAGTCAGTGCATAAATTGGCTGATAAGCAGTTCAGCCCAGCCCTTAAGCTTGCCTAGAGGGGAGATTTCTCACTTTCCCTTTGTACTTCTCAGTCTCCTCTAACCAAAATCACCGGTTTCCTTACACCAGATGGTAAACAAGAAGCCACACAACCTTCCCAGAGAAGGACTTGTCTGGTGCCCCAGCAGATCACCACAATCACCAACTCCCACCATAAACCAGACCCAGCTGATCTCAAGAGCCCCACAAGAGCTTCCCAGGTCAGACACCACTAGGGATAAGACCCAAGGTCCTACAGGCTTTCAAACTACAACTTAATGAAATGCAGCAAGTGGAAAATCAGAGCCTCTTGCCGAGTCTAGAGCCACAGACTTCCTGCACAAGACTTCATCAGTCTTACATCCCCTTTCAGAGCTCCTTTCCTGAGGGCAGGCACCTGCTAAAGTACCTAGTGAATCCCATCCCAAACCCAGGGCAGGATGACTTGTCCTCTGTGGCCACATGCCTAGCTTGGACAGAGCACACGGGCAGCAGGAAGGGTGGTAAAGGCTCAACAAGGAGGCATGTTCAGCCAGGAGAAGGTTGTGTTCCTTTAGGAAGTGGCGTTCAATCCAACCGCTTCCTCAAACACTGCTTTAGCTTCCTCACAAGCACAGAGACAACTTTAAACAGAGCTGATGGAAAGGCTGCCAATATTAATTTTCTTCTAGCAAAGAGGTACTGCCTTTATTGCAGGAGAGACAACAGCAGCAAACTGATGGCCCTGAGCTGGGGATGGCTCATTGAAGAAGGATGTTGCGATTTTCCAGAACTCTTTCCCTAGGGTTTCCCCCAAAGCAAGAGACCACTGACGATTCCCACTCCTGCTTGCATCCCCCTGAAGACTTTGAGAAAAAAAAGAATGATCAAAGAACCTTTGTACATTTATAAACCTGTCAATTTTGCTAGAAGACTTAAGGCTTTAAAGAGTCCAAAATATCTACTTGAAAATTTTTATCCAGACTTCTTTTAACACTTAAAAAAACTCCCAGAAATAAAATATTTAGATTTTTCTGAAGTGAGGCATTCCAACAGCTCCAGACAGAAACACTGGAGAGGAGGAGAAAATCCAATTCTTAAGTTTGACAGGAACTTTATTTTTCTCTCTTTCTTTTAACTGGCAGAGAAACAAGACTACAAGAGCTATTTCAGCCCCTGGCTCTGACCAGGAATAGCTGGGATGAACAGGACAGGAAACAAAACTTACTCAACTGCTGGCAGTTTCAGGTCCCTGTCCCACACATGCTTTGCCCCAAAGAAAAGATTCTCCAAGGTGATGATGTAGCAGTATTCCACCCTACCATCCTGCCCTTCCTCTCCACACACTCCCAACACATTCTAATTTGCTTCAAAAGCCTCCCCTGCAGAGGACAAGCAGGTTCCCCACCTGAGAACATTACAGGCATGACAGGTTTTGGGAGAGCTCAGCCTTTTTCAAAACCTGGTTACCTTGACTTCTTCTCAGCCATAAGAATTGAGAGGGTCAAACATCTGGCAGCACATTTCTTTCTCCATTTCCATGTACTCCTTGTAGTATCTGGAAAGTAGAGCACAGGATGGCATCAGAGGTTGGAGACTGTCTGTGGTGCCCTCAGTGTCACAACCTGAAAATAATGTTATATTTTGGATATAAATAAATTAACATACTGGAAGAGTGTGCTAGCAGCAGAGACACAGCTCCTCCAAGCCCTTCTTTCTACAATGTCAGGGAATGACAGCTGGAAATGTCACACTTCATCCCCAGACCTTGGGTCTCTGCTCTGCTTGGGACTAATTAGATCATTTGCCTTCTGTGATATAGGTGCTTTCTACACTAGTTTTGGAAGCATGGAACAGTGCAGAGGAACCCCACATGTGTGCGGTGGGATACTTTTGTGTGTCATTATGCAAGTTCTTCTAGCACTCAGGAGATGTTGTCCAACTGCATACAGCAGGATATCTACCATGGATATAGGATAGAGGATGTGCAGGAGACAGCAGGGATTTGTGTCTGGACTAACTGGATGGCAAGGCAGATGTTTCCTCCTCTGTTCTCTCTTCCTTGCCAGTGACACAGGATGGCAAAAGCTTCACAGTCTGCTCCATCTGAACTTCTCCAAGCACAGCATCCTCTGTGCCCCGTGCTTTCACCTCACTGGTAAGGAATCCCTGAGCTGCAGGGTGACTCAGTTTGGGAACACTGTCCCAGGGACCAGTTGCTGCTCACGAGTTCGGCTTTCCTGCATCTGCTGCCATATAAGGCCAAAAGCAAAGGGTTTTGAGCAACACATTAGAACCAACCCCAGTGAGAGGCTGGCTCAGGCTCTCTGAGCCCCAGCCCTCAGCACCCTTGGGGCCCAGAACCTCAGAGGGTGTGAAATCCCAGCACAGCAAATCTCTCCTGGTAAGTCACACAGAAGTCGGTGATCAAGGATGTCCACCTGTAGATGGCATATTCCCAATCCTATGACAGCAGGAAATGCAAGAGCCCCTTGTTTGGAGGAACAGATTAATGCCAGATATTGGAAGAACCCAAATTCATTGTGGTTTTGATGCAATGGAAGTCTTCTAATGAAATTCTCAGATCCAGCAGCAGAATTTGCACCAAATTCACCACAGCTGGCACCAGACCCATTCTACATACTTCTCACCCTGGATTCTGCCTCTTGATCTCCAAGGGACTTTGCCAAGAACCTGTTTCAGCCAGTAAACAGATGCATTCCAAAGCTTTGTTTTAGACAGTAAAAGGGAACTTGCTGATTACCACACAACACTGCTTTTAACAAAGTGTAAACGTACACAGTAAGGAACTGAAAAGCCACTAAGAACAAAATTTTGATTCATATTCAATTTCTGAAGCATTTGTCAGATCATACAAGTTCACAGGCAAGGGCAGGCTGGCAAACATTATATATCTAACCAGAGATAAGGGCTCATTAACAACACCCAGTAACACTTGCTTCATCTGTTTCACACAAAAAAAATCCACTCTTTGTCACAGGAAAAAGACTTCTCCTGCAGTGCTGCTTCCAGATCCAACATCAGAAAGACATAGAGCTGCTGGAGTGAGTCCAGAGGAGGCCATGGAGATGCTCCAAAGGCTGGAGCCCCTTTGCTCTGAAGACAGGCTGGGAGAGCAGGGATGTTCACCTGGAGAGGACTCCAGGAAGACCTCAGAGCCCCTTCCTCTGCCTAAAGGGGCTCCAGGAGAGCTGGAGATGCACTTTGGACAAGGTCCTGGAGTAACAAGACAAGAGGGAATGGCTTTCCACTGCCAGAGGGCAGGGTCAGATGGAACATTGGAAAGAAATTCTTCCCTGCGAGTGTGGTGAGGCCCTGGCACAGGTTGCTGAGAGAAGATGTGGCTGCCCTATCCCTAAAGTGTTAAAAGCCAGGTTGGACAGGGCTTGGAGCACCCTGGTGTGGTGAAAACAGTCTTTGTCCATGGTAGTGGAATGAGCTTTAAGGTCCCTTCCAACCCAAACCATTTCATGGTTAAAAGCAAAAAATATATCAGTTTTAACAGGTAACAAAGCAGGAACTCCAGGACAATCGTGGTTTAATGTGCACTCAATTCTGACACACATACACTCACTGAACATGCTGCTCTCTACAGAGCTGGAGCTGATAAAGGCAGAAATGCCTTGCTGCTTCCCAGCCATGCTACCTCAACACCATTGCCAAGATTTCTCTTTTATCTACCAACATATTTCAAACATATCTAAGCGAATACATGAGGCTTCTAGAATCAGGCCTTCTAGCACTGTACATGTACTAGCATCCAAGAGCAGCCAGACACATCTAGTTTAGAAACCCCCGCCATCAGTGGACAATTTGGTAGCGCCATATCCAGTGGGAGATCAGGATAAATACAAGAGATTAATTTAAAATTTCCAGACCAGCAACTAATACTGCCTTCAAGCTCCTTGTACTTCAGAAGTAACAGAACAAACTTGAAGACTTGGTGTTATGACAGACTATTAAAGACAGCATGGATACACAGGACAGAACAGCCTTCCACCAACACATCCCCTGGCGGAAGACACTCAGCCCACCAGACTGGCTTTTCCAGCAGCACCAACCACTCTTTTTAGATGTTACTGCTGCCTTTCTGCAAGTGCCTGGCAGTGACATACAGAAGAGGGTTTGTATTCAAGGGCTGCTTTGTGAGTCCAGAGCTGAGGACAGCATCACTCCTGCCTCAGTAAACAGCGCTGGGAGGACAGCACACACTTTTGGGAAAAAGTTAATGCTTTTGGCAGTTTCAAAGGAATAGCATCATGAGGGCATAGACAAGCATTAGTCATGTTTTGGTGGGGCTGGGGAATGACTAAAGCTGGCAGGATAGCCTGTGGGCAAAGGGAGAGTTCATCTTCAGGGCTGTTCATTTATTATCTCCAAGACAGCAAGAAATTCACCTTTAATGAATATTATTACTGTGCATTGAAGGACTTGGAGTGCAGAAAAGCTGCTGAAATTAACCAACACATCTTAAAAGGAATGAAAATCATACTTATTGAGAACATTAATTGGTGGAGCATCAGCCAACCGTATTTGAAGCATTTTAGTAGCCCACACATCCCTGTCCTCACCCTGATCTGCTCACAAGTCAGGTAACAGACATCCCACCAAAGAAATATATGGAAAGGGTGGGTGTTCCCAGCTCCTCACTTGCAGGCTTTTTGGGCCTGAAAAACGTTTCAAGCTGTTTTCTCCACATGTGTTTTCCCAAGTCACTTATTAACCCAATAGTTTGGGGTTTTGCAGTTTTTTTGAACATTTAAAATATTTTGGAATGGGTATTACAGCCTGTGCAAACACTCTCTCTTCCCCAGGTATGGAAAGCAGGGCTCTCACCTTGCCAACTTCTTCAGCTCATTGTTAATATCACGGTTGAAGGGCTGGATGCACTGAGCTCTGGCCAGGAAATCCCGGGATTTGCTGTACTCCCTCATGTAGAGACAAGCCTGTCATGGAAAGAAGATGGATGCATCACACGATAAATACACACCCACTGCCCTTCTTCAGTCCTCATGCAAAAACAAACATTCCTGAGACAGAGAAAAGTAACTCAGGAACACCCCAGGAAAAGCTCTGTGTGACACATTTACAAGAAAGCCAGACTTTCCAAAAGGGCAGATGCTGACAAACCACCTTGACTGCTGCAGCAGCCCAGAATTCAGAGATTCTTTCTGGGCTTCCTCCACAGCCAGGCCAGGATGTTACATAATTATTTATTTGCCCACCTGGCCACACCTGAACAGCGCTTTGGCGTTTCTTTGGTCCATCTCCAAGGCTAACTGCCCGTATTTCAAAGCTCGGTCAGCACGTTCCAGTTTTAGGTAAGTGAGTGAAAGATTCAGGAACAGCAGCAGTTTGGAAGCGTTGATCTGGCTCTGCTCTGCCTTACTGGAAGAGCTGCGACCCAGGATGGACAGTGCCTGAGCAGAGAGGGAAAACCAGACAGTGCACAACAAATCCAACATGTAAAGTGAGAAATCCATCTCATCCAACAGCTACACCTGTGTTTCTGTTCACCTAGGAAACTTAAAAGTAGTAACAATCGAATTTGTAAATACAGGGCATGGCATTCTAAGCATGACTAGTCATGGTGACCATATGACCACCAGTTTAGGAACTTACCACGGAAAGCAGCAGAATAATAATTAAAAAAAAGGACCCAGGACTCAGATTTTAAGGATAAATATGGAAATATTACAAAACAGAAGGCAAGTAAAATAACTTTTGCTTCAAAAATACCAAGCAAAAACAACTTTGAATCATCTCTACCTCTGAAAAAGTAGCAGATCCCTTCCAGTTTGAGAATAATTGAGCATTTACCCTGCCTGGAAAGGGAGCTGAAGAGGCTCAGCCTGGGAAAAAGGATCAGGGGGTACCTTCTTGCTCTCTACAATTCCCAGACAAGAAGGTGCAGCCAGATGGGGGTCAGGCTCTGCTCCCAGGTAGCTGGATAAGACAAAACAGCCTCAAGTTGCAGCACAAGAGGTTCAGGTTGGATACTGGGGAAAATTTCTCACTGAAAGAGTTGTCCAGTCCTGGCACAGGATGTTCAGGGCAGTGGTAGAGTCCCCATCCCTGGATTTAATAGCCCTGTGGATGTGGCACTTGCGGACATGGGTTAGTGGTGGCCTGGGCAGTGCTGGGGAACAGTTGTACTTGGTGGTCTCAGAGGGCTTTTCTAACCAAAATGATTCTGTGACTATTCCTTCATTTACCACTGCTGCTCACAGAAAACCAGATGTGCAAGCCCTGTTCTGAAGTAACAGACTATGCCTGGAAAATACCACAAAGTTATTTGATCTCTAACCTGTACCTGCTGTGGTGAGCTAAAATAATCCCTTCTTTCACAGCTTTCCCAAAGCACGCCCCACATTTTCCTGGTGCCATACCCTCTTGTATCTGTCCTTGGCAATCTTGAAGCACTGCTTATAGAAGAAGTAGTTGCCAAACTCTCTCTCTGTGGCTGCCACTTTCAGCACCTTTTCTAAAGGAAGTCTATCCCGTTGTTCCTGTGTGAAGAAATATCTAAATTTCAGCTCAAGCTGAAGAAAACAGGCAGAGAAATCAGACAGGACAGTCCTGCACAACCCCCTCCTATTCACAGAGCAGAAGCCAGGCCCTTACTAAGGCCAGGCCACCACCATGTGGTATCTCCCCAGCCAGGCTGAAGCATGACAGTGTTCTTATGCTGATTATTCCTAGTGAAGAGGTCAGGAAGCTCCTCAGGCCCAAAGGGGAACTGAAAAAAGCAGGAATATATCTTTAAAACCTGCCCAACTCTTCCAGCACACAGCTGAGTTAACATAAATGCAGCGACTGGCACAAAGCTGCTTGAAAGGGTCCCTTGTGCTAATTGCTCTCAGGCCAGCTCTGGGACAGCCTGATACTCCCAAAGACATCAACCAGTAAAACAAAAACCCCAACAATCATTAAAATGAAAGATGAAAATAGAGGGACAGGTTTTCTTCTGGGTCCACAAGCTGGAACCAGATCATAGACAGAGGTCAGTCAGCGAAAATGGGTGAGCAAGGGGCAAGGAGGGAACACAACAAGTGTGGTTTGCTCACAGGGCTCTGGGGGAAAATCTGCCTGTGCAGAGGCTGGAGGGGGCTGGAGGGCCTCCCCCCATTAGCTTCTGCTTCCACTTACTGACCCACAGCCACAGCCCAAAGCCCTTGACATGAAAAGGTGAATTAACAATAACACTGTAACTCACCAGGGAGATAAAAACAGAGAAGGAACACTTGGGAGAGGAGCCAGGAGGCAGAGACAAAGGGTGGGGGCACTGGGACACTGCAGACTGAAGAGGATTGTTACAGACAGCTCCTTACTGTTCCTTAAAGAAACTGCTGGAAATTGGTGCCCTCTAGTGCAACCATGAGGTTTCTGGTAAAACTAAAAATAAATGGGGGCCATTCCACTGACTCCATCCAGCACAGAGGAGCAAACAAAGGCAGATCCTGCCTTCTCTCTCTGCATGGGAAGGCAAGCAAGACATGGAGGGACACAAAGGGCATGCACATGGATCAGAGCAGAGCTGGAAGCCTAGGGACTGGATACTTGCACCAGCATTCACCTGAACACACAAGCCACAGTAACTGTGAGACAGGACAATGATGGTTCACCCTCCAGATTTGGGTCTCAAGCCTTATTAAGAGAACTCACATAAGTCAACTCAAAGAATGCGTCGCACTCCTCTGAGTCTATGAAGTCCAGCACCTCCACCTTGAAGAGGACAGTGGTGTTTGGAGGGATGGAGGGAGGACAGCCCCGCTGGCCATAGGCGTATTCTGGAGTGAGGATGAAAAGTGCAGCCTCTCCTTTGGTCATAGACAGCAGCCCAATCTCCAGCCCACACAGTGTGATGTCTGTCACAACAAGGGTTGGGACAGGTTAGCTTCACAAACACCAACACACTCACACACCAAACAATGATTTCTCCTTAAGCCTAAAGGAAAAAAAATCCCTGGGAGCTCCTCAGTAGCTTGTCTCAGCAACTACAACCAGCCAGTTGCTCCAGAAGGGATTATCAGGGCAGCCTGCTGTGGGACTACGCACATGGTATTGCGCATCCAGAGTGGGATGAGTTGGAAGGGGCTTTAGAGATCATCCAGTCCAAGCTTTGCCACGGGCAGGGACACCTTCCACTAGACCAGCATGCTCCAAGACCTGTCCAGCCTGGAAAACATCATCTCTCAAGAGATTTAGAACTATCTGAGGGCAGGTGGGTAACACCTCCCTACCACTCCCAGGCAGAGGGTGAGCAAGTCCAGATTCTATCTCCCGGGTGAACCAGGAGGATTTAGGACTCCATGAATAAGCATTAAAGGTTTCAAACTACCTAAAGACACCAAACAGTATTTTAACTGAAATGCCTTAATACAATCCAAGCCCCAGGACAAAGTTTGTGGCTCAAACTTACCTTTTCCAAGTTTCATCAGCCTTGGATACTTGCTGTTCCCGTTTGAACAGAAGAGCTTATTCCAATTTCCCAGGTACCCGGAGTACTTCACTGTACAGAGTGGGGAGAAGGAAAAACCAAGAGCTTGATTTCATATCCCATACTGGCAAAATCAGGAGCGCACTAGGAGTTGTAACCACCCAGCTATCCTGCTTCTCCTTTTCCATTTGGCTGTAGAACAGCAGAGGCAGCACAAACCCTTCTGTTTTACACAAAAAACCTGGTCACATCCAAGCAGCCAAGTGCTGTATGTTTTAGCATCTTTCCCAGACAAAGCAGGTGCTTCACATCCTGAGGTATTTAAGAGATGTCATTCTGTGCTCTCCAGAAATGGAAACTCCAGCTGAGCAAATTAAAATGCCCCAGTTATATACAGAAATACTTAAAAAGAATTCCCTAACCAAAGCTGGAGCTCTGGAAAGAGGAACAAGGGGAAAAATGTACTGCCATCCCAACCTTTGCATCTGTAACTCCAGTTCTGCCTCAGAAAATGCACTGTAATGGGCTTCTCTTGACACAGCACCAGTGCCCTCTACTTCAGGAACCACTTCCAGCCTCAAACTTCTCAAGTTTTCCTCAAGGTCGAGATGCCTTTTAATTTGTCAGCCACAAGAAGTTAAACAGGGTATCCCAAGTGTTACAATACAGATAAGGAAAGGCAACAGTCTCTGAAACAGAGACACACCACCGTGTAACATCAGCACTTTTAAGTCCTTGTTGTAGTCTTTACCAGCCACCAGCACCTCAACATTAGTTTTGGAGGATCCTTCCCGATAGGCTTTGCCCCCTCTGTTTCCCCCAGCACCTGCTTCAGGTCCAGCCACGCAGGACAAACCTCACGCCAAGACACAGGTGACAGAGACAAGCACCAAACCCTCGCTCCAGCCCACACTTCCAAGGATTTTTGCTTTCTTAGTCTTGCTGAACACAGACTAAACTAAACGATTCCTATATAAAAGCTGCTTAGAAGATGATTACTGGTGCCTTAACTACCTGTGAATTCAGGCACAGCATTACTACAGAGCACCCTGAACCGCCCCGGGGCAGCCAGGGCGAGCTCGGGCAGCTTCACTCCAGGACAGACTGATGAGATTGTGAGAACAGTGGAATGGTATGGGCTGGAAGAGGCCTTGAAGATCATCCTGTCCAACCCCCTGCCCATGGGCAGGGATGCCTTCCACTAGAGCAGGTTCCTCCAGCCTGGTCTTGAACATTTCCAGGAATGGGGCAACCACTGCTTCCTTGGGCAACCCGTGCCAGAGAAATGGGACATCCTTAACAGGGGTGCTCGGTCCTGGCCACGGGACCTCCCACGGCCCACAGGAGGCTCCGGAGGCCCCAGACCCAGCTCTACCTGCCACGGAGGCGGATGGGGGCACAGGCTGCCCTGTGCCGGGGCACAGCCGCTCCTTGCGCACCCCTCCATCGCCGGTCAGGTCCTGCAGGGGTTGGAGAGACTCCGAGGCCAGAGACAAAGAGGGTGTCGAGGCCGGGGTCGGTCCCGGGGCCGGGGTCAGTGCCAAAGCCCACGTCGGAGTCGAAGCCGAGCCCGGGCCCAGGTCTTGCCACGAGGCCTCGAGCTCCTCCTCGCCGGCGGTGCCCGCCATCATGGCCGCAGCGCGTCTCTTCCGCGCCTCACCCGCTCCGCCCAGCGGAGCGCCTCCAGCCAATCACGCTCCGAGCAGCGGCCCCGTCCCAACGCGCAGCTTTAGAACCACGCGAGAACGGACGCGCCCCTGCGCGGCTCTGGACCAATGGAAGGCGAAACGTCACGGAGCACCGCGATGCACGCTGGGGATTGTAGTCCGCGGCGTGCACTGCCTCCGTACTTCGTTAGAACAAAAAACCCCAACCAAAACCAACCCAAAACTCAAAACCCAAAACCAAACCCCACAAAAACAGCATCAGAAAACCCAACCAACCTACAATAAAAACACAACTACCAAAAAACAAAACCCCAAACCAAAACCAAATCAAACAAAAACCCAAACCAAAGGAAAACCAAAGCCAAAACCACACCCAACACCAACCAACCAACCAGATGGTTCTGGGACAGTTTCAAAGCCACGCCGATGCTGGGATACCGCCTCCTGGTGGCTGTTCTGGCGTGTCCTTTACCCTCCATATACAGCTCTGAGCTTCCTGGAGCAGATCCTTCTTTATCGGAGCAGACCCCTCTTCTCAGGGCTGGGCATTCTTTGCTCTGTTTGAGCGCAGCATGAACTCCACCAAAGTCTGCAGCAAATCCCCACCAATCCATCACACACAGGGTATAACAGGGTCTAACAAACAGTAGTAATGTCAGTGTGCTTCCACATGCAGGGACCGGATGGGGTGCCCGGGGCTGGTGACCAGGGTCACTGGGTTGATAGAGGTGGCTGAGATGGCCCGGGTAACCAGGATGGTCAGAGTGATTGGTTGGTCAGGGTGGCTGGGATCACCGGGATGAACAGGGTGATGGGGTGACTGGTGTCACCGGGCTGACCAAGGTCACTGATGATGGGGTGTTCAGGACGATGGGGGTGACCCGGGTCACTGGCTGGCCGGGGTGACCAGAGTGGCCTAGGTCATTGTGATGATGGCGTGGCCGGGGTGGCCGGGATCACTGAGGTGATCGGGGTGATGGGGGTGACCGGGGTGACCTGGTTCCAGCAGCGCCTGCACGGTACCCGCGCGCTCCGAGTTCTCCGCCCGCCCTGCCCCGAGCACCGAGCCCGAAGCGGGGCCGCGCTCGCCCCCTGTGGCCCCGGAGGCCCCGGCGGAAGCGGGGCTGAGCGCACATGGCGTTGTACAGCGCGGCGGCCGCGGTGCTGGCGGGGCTGGAGCGCGGCGAGGGCGGCCTCAAGCGCCTCGTGTACAACAGCGGCTTCCCGGTGCGACCGGAGGGGACGAGGGTGCGGGGCGGCCGGGGGGTGGAAATCACACCCGGGAGGGCAGGGGAAGCCCCGGAGCCCGGCGCGGGCCCGGTGGTGCTCACCGCTGACTGCTCCGCAGCATGTCCGGCAGCTGTACGCGCTGGTGTCCGAGACCCTCCGCTACGCCTCGGTGCTGGAGAAGCTGCTGGATGGAGCCGCGCTGCTGCAGGCCGAGAAGAAGCTGGCGCCGCAGCTGGCGAAGGTACGGGCATCCGCGGAATCTCTGGGCCGCGGTGTCCTTGTGCCGCGGTAGCGCGGGGCGGCGGGGCCGGGCTCACCTGTCGCCTCCCCGCAGGTCCTGGTGTATGACTTGCTCTTCGGCAAGGGGCTGAAGTGCGGGGGCCGGTGGAAGGCGCTGGCCCGGCGGCACCGGGCGCGGCTGGAGGCCGAGCTGGCCCGCATGAAGGTGCGGTACAAGGTGAGCCGCAACGAGGACCTGCTGGCTCCGGAGAAGGCAGTAAGCGCCGCAGGTGAGTAGGCTCGGGCTGGGTGGGCTGCCTGTGCTGGGAGCAGTGGGGGGGCTGTGACTTACCTGTCTGGCCCCTGCAGCCTCCCAGGTCCCACGTTACATCCGGGTCAACACCCTGAAGACTTGTGTGGACGATGTGATCGACTTCTTCAAGCGTCAGGGATATGCCTACCTGGGCAAGGCAGCCAGGTGAGTATTTCTTTCTATCCCACCTTTCCCAGGATGTCAGCAAGTGGCATGGGATGAGGTCTGGTGGGTTGAGGGTTTGCTGAACTTGATGCTCAGAGTGGTTTGGTTTGGTTCTCCTTCACTCCTTTTTGGATGCTGCCTATCTGGGTGCTGCCTGGAGCTGGAGAGGAGCTGTGGGATGAAGGGGTTTCTCAGCCTGGGCTCTGCTGAGAGCACTGAGATTAGGACTTTGGATTCATGCTTCCTATGTCTCATGGGCAGCGTGGAAGAGCTGAAGGCCCTCTCTGGAAAAAAATTCTTGTTGGATCTGCATCTCCCAGAGCTGCTGGTGTTCCCTTCGCAGACAGACCTCCATGACAGCCTGCTGTATACTTCAGGACACATAATTCTGCAGGACAAGGTGAGGGAACTGGGGAGCAGGAAGCTACTGACAAGGATGAAGGGTGAGCTTCTTCCACAGTGGCTCAGCCTGCTGCAGCGTTTAAGTCTAAGCAGAAACTATGACTCCCCTGGGGCTTTGCTTCCATTGTTTGAAGGCTCCAGATGAAATTCTGGGGTATAAAACCCCTGTGGGAGCTGGGGACCAGCAGCTGGGAGGAGCAGGAGGCTGTGGGTTGAGCAAGGCTGTTGGTAGAGTGTGGTGGTGGTCTTGGTCCTGTGTTGTGGTGGTCCCTGTGACCCCACAGCATCAGCCGTGCCTGAGGAGGGGCCACCCCCCTGAAACCTGAGGTGGGTTTCAGCCCACCCCTCTGACAGTCTTTGCCCTCTTGCAGGCCAGCTGCCTCCCTGCCTTCCTCCTTGGCCCTGTTGCTGGCTCCCATGTCATCGATGCCTGTGCTGCCCCTGGAAACAAGACAAGCCATCTGGCTGCCATCCTGAAGAACAAGGGGTAAGGGCAGGGTTGTGTGCAGGAGTGGAGGGAAGGGGGGAGGTGGCCCTGGTCCCCCCAAGCCCATAGAGAGCACAAGAAGGTGGTAGGAAGAGCTGCAACCTGTCACCAGCTCAGGTGAGCTGGTGGCTCTGACAGTTCTGGGCCACTGGAAGGACTTGAGGGGATGTGAAGTCACGGGGGGGTTTGATCCCACCCCTAGCCCTGTTCCATAACCCTACCAGAGGGGAGGCAGCTCTCAAGGTCTGCCTGCCCAGTATTTGAGTGTTCCTGGGGGCCAGGTCGTCTGTTCACAGCTTCTCTTGGGTGCTGGGCTCTGCCTTCAGACAGATCTTTGCCTTTGATGTGGACCCCAAGCGCGTGGCCACCATGAACACACTGCTGACACGGGCAGGGGTCACTGGCTGCCAGCTGGCCCAGCAGGACTTCCTGACCGTGGACCCCAGAGACCCCAGATACAGCAGGGTGACTCATATCCTTCTTGACCCATCCTGCAGTGGCTCAGGTAACATGTGAGGCTCCAGCTGCTCACCTGGAGCCAGGCTGTGGGTGTGCAAACCCCAGGTGACAGCTCCTGTCCTGCAGGGATGGTGACCCGAGGGCCAGGGGAGGAGGCGGCCCCGAGTGCTGAACGTTTGCAGGCACTGGCTGGCTTCCAGCGCCGGGTCCTCAACCATGCCTTGAGCTTTCCGGCTCTCCAGCGCCTGGTCTACTCCACCTGCTCCCTACACCAGGAGGAGAATGAGGATGTGGTGCAGGCTGTGCTGCAGGAGTGGGGCTCAGCCTTCAGGTGGGTTTGGCTCAGGGAACCTGGGGGGCTGTAGGGCAGGGTTTGGTGCTGACCCCTTTTCCATACCACAGGCTTGTGAATGCCTTCCCATCCTGGCCCTGTCGAGGACTTGCTGCCTTCTCTGGAGCAGAGAGCTGCCTCCGTGCTTCCCCTGCAGAGACCCTCACCCATGGCTTCTTTGTGGCTGTGCTGGAGCGGTGCCAGGAAGGGGCTGCTACCCCCAGGTGGGAGAGGGCTGTGGGGGACTCCAGCTGCTTCTGGGGGGCACCTTGACCGTGGCCAAGGTCAGTGCTCTGGGCACCCTCGGGAGGGTGTGAGAGGATGTGGCTGTGGGAGCAGAGGACGGGAAACTGTGGCACTGGCAAGCATGGCTCAGGCTGTTTCTCTTGTCCATAGCTGCCTGCCTGCAGCAGCCAAGGAGAACCCACAGCTAGGAGAGCGAACAGAGCCAGGAGCAGCTCCCAAGAGGAGGAAAAAGAAAAAGCAGCGGGTGAAAGAGTGAAACATTTTCTGTACAAACCCCTGCACAGTGGGGACTGTGGGGAACACATACTGGCCTGAACGCAAGTCAAGCTACGTGGCAGCTGCAGTCATAATGAGACTTCTGTAACACCAGAGGCTGAGTGCCAACACTGGGACCACCCTAGTGCCAGGAAGGGGCAACTGCTCACCCAGGGCTGCGCCTTGCAGCCAGCCCCTGCTCCAGGTTTACCCCCAAGGCAATCCCCACTCGGCACTCTGCAGGGCTGGGGCCCTCCAGCTGGACTAAGGGTGGTTTATCATGTTCCCCTCCCCAAAATTCCAACCCCTAGCTTGATGTGGAGCTTTGAAAAAACATTTCACTGTAGGGATGAAGCAGATTAAAAGTTTCTCTCTCTTCACTGTCTTTTCCAGTGTTTTCATGCAGTCCTGCCCTGAAATTGCCACTGCTCATAGTAAAGGCAAAGCGTGGGGAAAAAGGTGAAATAATAATCCTTCCCCTGCACCTCTCTTTGAACTGGGGGAGCAAGGACACATGAGCCAGAGGGTGCTGCACCTGAACCCCATGAGCACCACCCTGCCCTGGGAATCCTGGCCCCAGGAATCACACAGGCACAGCCTTTTGAACACAGTCATTTTATTTTAAACTGGGGACATAAAGAAGCAAGGAAACAAAAATTGCACATTCACACTAATATCAGCCATACCCGGAATGATCCAAGTCTTCAGTCAGTTAAATCCAGCCTCCCCCCAAGCACAATGGGCTCTCCCTGCAGTGCCTGTGTGGCAGGGAAGGGCCAGCCTGGCTCGTCACAGCGTGTGGGATTATGTGGGGCAGCTACTTGGGGGGCAGGACCCAGAGCCAGGGTGCCCTCAACGT